TCTGTCTGTCTACTCATCCATCCATCCATCCACCCACCCACCCACCCACCCATCCATCCATCCATCCCTCCATCCACACACCCACCCACCCACTCATCTATCCACTCATTCACTCATCCATCCATTCACCCATCCATCCACTCATCCATCTACCCACTCATCTGCCAGCCCATCCATCCATCCATCCATCCACCCATGCGCCATCCATATACTCATCCACTTGTCCATCCATCCATCCATCCATCCATCTTCTCTCTGACTTGCTCACTTTTGTTCTCTCTCTCTCATTTGTACAATGAAAATGTATCAAGTTTTGTTCTGGGCTGGAGGATATAAGGGCAAATGCTGTTTCTGTCCTCAGGAACCAACACGGCTGAGGATAGTATTTGTCCCACTTTAAGAGCTTGCTGCTAACAGTGCTCATCTGCCCCTCTCTCCGTCAGACGGGGAGCCCTGGACAGTTGAGAGTGCGTTGTCCATCCCTGTCTGCCTTGTGGCCTGTGGCACAGGGCCTGGTGGGTAGCTGCAGTGCCTAAATGTGCGTTGAATTGAACTGGCCTGGAGGTGGTGAGGGGTTGGACGATTCAGGTTGTTGGGAGAGGTTCAGAAAAGCTTAAAGAATGGTGCTGACAGGCATATGTTAAAATAGGACTTCGAGGACCTTTTGATGGGAGAGAAAATGGGACCCCATCTCTTGGGCCTCTTTCCCTGTCAGGTTTCTGGTTGGGGTGGGGGTGGGGGTAGGGCTTCTCCTCCTCCTACCTCCTGCCCCTTGTCGTGCCCCTGGGTCTGAAATGCAGCCATGTGATGTGTCGTTGGTGATCACCACATGACAGCTGAAGCAGGGCACAGAGCTTGGGGTCTAGACCAGACTAGCTCTCTCTGGGTGACTGGGGGACCCCTGGACAGGACGCAGCGCCTCACAGGGCTCCCTGCCCCAGCCCGTGCAGGTTCCTCAGAAGTTGTGCTGCCCCCCACCTCCCCATGCTGACCTCTCTGTTCTCACAAAGCTGCCCTTTCCTTCCCGCCTTGAAATATGATAATGAAACGAATACCCAATATTTTTGCCTCCAAGAGAGGCAGGAGATAAACAGGAAGGCACGAGGGATTAAGGTGTCTCTCTGAGGAAGGGGCTGGGGACAGGCTGGGAGTTGGTTGACATCTCTGTGTGGAGCCGAGGGAGCCAGATGTGAGCTGCTTTGCCTGATGCATTTTTCCATTTGTGCAGAGAAAATAAAACAAAGAGAAAAGAAAACAAGCTGTAAAATACTTTGCAAAGACTGAGCGTGGGCAATCGCCACTTGATGTCCCCTGACAGCTCCCAGAGCAGGGGGAGGGAGGGGAGCCCTGCCTTTCGATGTTCAGCCTCGGAGTTTTCTTTTGTGTGACCAGTTGTTTGGGAAGAACCTTTTGTTGGTGTAAGGTGCATATGGAAGAGAGAAACCAGCCCAAGGTTCCCCTTGGGGTGGGGAAAGGGGGGTGCTGAGCTCCCAGGAGGGGCTCAGAGGCTTGCGCAGCCCCTTTGGGGGAATGGGGGAGGTGGAGCTTTCTTTATAGAGGAGGACACAAGATTAGCATCTGTCTCCAAGTAGGACCAGGAGATGCTCCTAGTGAGGTCTTTCCCGTTACAAGAGTGGCGTGAGGAAGTGAGACCCGGGTGCTCCTTCCAGATCCCTGTCCCCAGGCAGGTGTGCCAGGCCCTGTGACTTCCGTGCCAGTAGGAAAGATCCAGATTCTGGGCTGTAGTCTGGGCCCAGCTGTTCCTTCCAGTGATGTGGGTCCTTTCCTCTGGGGCAGTGGGCCAGGAACCAGAAGACCTGGGTTCCAGTCCTGGGCCCCCCATCTACTGGCTTGGTGGTCCTGGGCTGGCAGGTCCCTTAATCCTTCTGAGCAACCTTCATCACCCTTGTCCGGCTGAATGAGTCCAAAGGGACAGTGGACATGCATATGTACACACGACAGTCCCCTGTGCTGGTGGGCAGGGCGAGGCTGCGCCTTCTTTCTTTGCACCTGGTGAGCTCAGCCCCAAGGGCTGGAGGTGCTGAGGGACACCTTGTGAGGCTCTCAGACATCATTCTCTGTTCTAATTTGGCTTCCAGCTGCTTCCAGACTTCAGGCATGAGCTCTTTTCTCTTGTATCGCCCATAGCACCTCCTCCTAAGCTCTTGTCCGTCTCTACTTGTAAACTGAGTGACTATTGGGTGTGTGATTTGGGGGTGACTCTAGGAAGAACATTTAAAGAAGCTTTTCATAAGATCAGAGAGAAAAATTAACAGGCAAATATTTTTTTAAAATCAGAAAAGTAATATATGAATAAGAAACTGGTAAAACTATTTGCAGCTTGTATGGTAGAAAAGACAAGTGGTTTTTAATCCGTCGTATGTAAGAGCACTAGACATATTGGGGAAAAAAAACACCTTATTTGAAAACTGGGCAAATGGCATGAACAGGCAATGCACAAAAAAGAAATATAAATAGAAAAACACACGGAGCAATGTCCAACCTCACTGGTAATCAGAGACATGCAAATTAAAATCATGTGTGCATGTGTGTTTTCCAGACAAATTGGCAAAGATTGAAAAAAAAGAATGCTGATACCAAATGCATATTGTTATTCTTTTCAAGGGTGTGGTGAAATAGGAGCTCTCATATCCTGCTGGGAGGAGTGTGAGCTAGGACAGCCTTTCTTGAGGGCAATTTGGCAATTTGGATCCCGAGTTAAAAACATGTAGATCCAAAATTTAACCTAGCAATTCTGTCTTGAGAAATTGACTGGGCAACAGGCATCAGAGCAGAGTACAAATACATATGTTCAAAGGTAGTTACCACTGTGTTGTTTATAACAGTGAAAAACTGGAAATAGCCTAACTGCCCATCCCGGGGACGCCCTGCTTTTAAATGCACCCACTGCAGAGTCCAAGGAGCCCGTTACGTGTATCTGTACAAGCAAAGGACTAGACAACCTTTCAAAATCAGGAAGAACGTGATCTGACATTAAAAAATGTTCATCATTATGAGAAAATAGGCTAGGAAGCAAGATGTACAAGTATGATCCATGTCTTAGGCAAGAATTAAATAGTTCCACAGCTGAGCAACTGTCAGTTAAAGCCGGGAAGGAAAGACCCCCGTGTTAACAGTGGTTGGTGGACATTTGAGCAGGTTTTTTTTTTCTTTCTTTCTGCTTTTGTTTTTCCAGTGTCTGGTATTAAACGTATATTTCTTTAGAAATTACATGAAAGGCGATTTAAACAAACTTAGCACAAAAGCAGGGCAAACCATGTTGAAGAGTGAGCAAGATGAGGCCGGATCTAAGCTGGAGTTACCCTGGTTAGAGGCCCAGAGGAGCCAGATCACAGGCGTCAGCGTGCAGGATGAAGGCGGCCCGGGGGGTGCCGTGCTGGACGCCTGGGGAGCCCACAGCCCTGGAGCCTGAGCTGGGCTGGCAGGAGATGGGCCTGGAAGTGACACTGAAACTGAAACACGGAGGATGAGAAGGATGCAGGCAGATGAGGAGCGGGCTTGGGAGGCAAGGAACAGCATATGCAAAGCCACAGAGGGGGCAGGTGAGGGGTCCTCACACACGGCATGCTCTAGAAACTGAAAAAAGTTTGGCACAGCTGAAGTACCAGAGCGAGAAGGGGAAGCAGGACCAGCTATTCAGAGCCCCAGAGGCTGTGTTAAATGATGTAGGTTTTATCCAGAAGAAAAGCGGGGAGCCACTGACAGATTTTAAGTAACAGTCATCCTCAGATTGGAGTGTAGGACTCCTGCTCTGCTTACAGTGTTGAGGATAGCCTGGAGAGGTCAGCTCAGGTGACAGGGGGGCCAAAGCCTGATGGGATGGAGAGGAATGAATGGACTTGGGGAGGTGCCTCTGGATCCAAGTGGAGACCCCAACGCAAAAGCTGGAAATATGGATTTGGGAGTCAGGAGCACAGAGGCGGTCACTGTCGTTGTGAGGGGTGAATGAGGCTGACCCGGCAGAGCGTCAAAGTGGAGGAAGGAGGGTGCTAAGGTCCTGAGGAGCATGAGACTGGGCAGGAGGAAAACCAGAGAGGAGGATGCTGAGGGTCCTAGAGGACCTAGAGGCCAGGAGTGTGGGCCACCACGTGATGGGAAGTTGTCCAAGTTGATACTGGAAGGAAGATAGTGCAGCAGGCCCCAAGCCCTCAGTGGCACAAGGAGGAGTGTACAGCCTGGTGGCCGGAGCTCAAGGGTGTGGGGAGTATGCTGGGTAGACGTAGAGGCAAAGGTTGATGCCCTGTAACCAGTGCATGAGTCTGCTCTGGCTGCTGTAACAAAATAACACAGGCTGGGGCGCTTAACCCACAGACATTTATTTCTCACAGTTCTGGAAGCTGGAAGTCCAAGATCAATGTGTCGGCAGGGTTGGTTTCTCCTGAGGCCCCTCTCCTTGGCTTGCAGATGGCCCCCTTCTCCATGTCCTCACACAGTCTTCCCTCTGTGTGTGTGCACCCCTCGTGTCTCTCTGTGTCCAAACTTCCTCTTTTCATGAGGGCACAGTCAGAGTGGATTAGGGCCCACCCTCGTGGCCTCGTTTTAATGTAACCACCTCTTTAAATGCCCTGTCTCTAAGATAGATCCTCTCTAAGATATCTCCAAATACAGTCATGTTCTGAGGTCCTGGGGTTGGGGCTTCAGCGTATGAATGGGGGGAGGGACACGTCAGCCCATAACCGGCAGGATTTGGGCACAAGGGGGATGCCTGCTCCACCTCCCAACTCTGAGGCGGGTGTGTGATGGGTCGGAGGCGGGGAGAGTAAGTGAACCATCTCCATGTGCGAGGAAGGCAGGACCTCGGCCGTGGTTCGGGTGCGGCTAGGTGGTCAATGCGTGCTTATGGGTACAAACGGGGGAGCCAGGGCAAAGCTCCCCGAGAAAGGACTGCCTCCCATCCGCAGTGGAGAAGGTGGGGGGAGTGGGGGGGGACAGACTCTCCGGGGCCCCCGCCCTGATGCCTCTCTCTGCCTCCCCCGCAGCCTGCAACTGCAACCTGCACGCGCGGCGCTGCCGCTTCAACATGGAGCTCTACAAGCTGTCGGGGCGCAAGAGCGGGGGCGTCTGCCTCAACTGCCGCCACAACACGGCCGGCCGCCACTGCCACTACTGCAAGGAGGGCTACTACCGCGACATGGGCAAGCCCATCACCCACCGGAAGGCCTGCAAAGGTAGGCGGTGGGGGCGGGGCCTTGGGAACTCCAGCCTCCCTCTCTTCTCTCTGCCTTTTTCTATTTCTTTTTTCTAGCCCCCATACAGATCGGCATTGACTGAGATCATCACTCACACACACACACACACACGCACGCACGCGCGCACGCATGCACGACCTCCCTGGTATTTGGAGGTGTAAGCCGAAACAAAGGGGCGATGGAGAAATGGATCCCAGGAGAAGAAAGGAGAAGGTGTGATTCCTGCGAGGGTGCAGGGCTCCGGGCCCCCGCCCCCGCCCCCTCCCGGCTTCTCGTCCCTCCGCACAGGTGTGCCGCATACCACAGGGCGGGGGTCATGTTCACCAGGCTTACCATCGGCACAAAGGAGTCTCTTTTACCAAAACCACGCGGACGTATTTCTTAGGATGTGTGCACACGCCCCCCAAGCCTCCAGCACTCACACAGACACGCACAGTCTCAGTGAGGTCGGCAGCTTCAGGGGCAGGGTCTCAGAAGGAACATGAATCCACCTGCAAATAGCTTTACTTCTCAGGACAAAAAAACGGAGAGGAGAGCCTCTATTTTCGTTCACTGGAGCAAGCACTAATGTTTTAACTTTCCGCTGTTTGTTTTCTCCCCCTAACACAAATGAAGCAATGCAGATGACTCAGAGGAGCAGATGAAATGCCAGGGAATTTAGTGATGTTGAGGGAGAGAATGGGGGCCCCCCACCCCACATTTACTTTTGGGAATTCCAGGAACCAGGGCTCTCCGGGTCCAGAACTTGGGGCCTGGAGCCAGGGCTTGCCGTGAGCATGGCTTCCCAAGAAGATATTTATCTCTGAGGGTTCTTGGGCCACAGTCCAGCATGAACAGGGTCCTGACTTGGGCTAGTATAGACCCTGACAGGGAGAGACCCAAGCTTTGGCAGACTTAGGCCCAGACGATGAGCTACGGTAGAGAAACCCTTCTGTGGCCGCTGTTCAGCTTTTGGATGAAGCCAGAGTATCATCTTCTTAACAGGAAATCCACCAGATGTTGCGCACTTGTGCTCAGGACCGATTACATAATTTGCAGGCCCCAGCGTGAAAGGAAAATATGGGGCTTCTTGTTCAGGAATTACTAAGAATATGAAAATGGCAACAGAAGCAGAGCTTCAACCAAGCACGTGCCCTTATGAAAGAGGGGCCCACAAAGCCGGCCCTGCTTGTGCAGAATGCTTTTCTCCAGAAAATACAGGTTCCCAGTCTGTCTCATCCAGGAGAAATCCCCTCCAAGTGAACGGGAATGAATAGAGTGGCTCCCAAGACACAAGCAAGCTCTCCTTCCAGATCTGTGGACCTAAGGCTGCCTCTGGTGGTTCTCAAGAGAAATTTAAGCATAAAGGTAGCCGGGCTATTTCCACATCAAAAAACAGCTGATCCAGGTGAGAATCCCCCAGGAGACTGAGCAGGGACTGAGAAGGTGGCCTGGGCAAAGGGACCAAGAAATGTCTGTAGTGGCAGGAAGGTGTGACCAGGGAGGGAGGGCTTTGGGTTTTCAGAGCACAAAGCTGGAAGGTCTCCAACTCCTTTGTCTATACCCAAGTGTTCATTGTCTTTCGTTTACAGAAGAAATTGAAGCGAGGGTCTTGTAAACAACTGGTTGCACATAGATTTCTTGGGGATTTGGCCAAGAAATTTTAATCAACAGGGGCCACTCAGGTGGGCCCGTGTGTGAGAAGTTCTGGGCTCTGTGTGGAAGGGCAGTGATCATGTACTGTTGTGCTAGTTTCTGCTGTCAGAGCAGGAAAGACATGCCCCTTGAGAGGCAGGAAGGAGCAGGGCCTCGGTCATCTTGCCATGTGCCTCCCCTCCCTCTCCTCTGTTACTGTGTGGAGGGACAAGGGCCGTTTGTGGCCTCTCACCACTTGGAGTGAGATGTCAGGAAGCTCAGGGTCCTAGGAACCTGCAGATCATTCTCCGGGGCTCTGCCACTCTGGTTAAGTGGCATGGGGACACCTGGCTTCCTTTGCTGGTTTCCAGGAGGGACAGATGCAGGCAGACAAGGGTATGGTCTTGTTTTATTATTTCAAATCCTGTGGGCAGTCTTGGTGGCTGTGTCTTCGCTGCCAGCCCTGGACAGCAGTAGCCCCCGGTCTTGGTGGGGACCCTGGGAGAAGAACCCACGGAAGAGGAGAAATGTAAGGATGGATTCTGCTCGAAAGCACACTTGCAGATCCTGCTGGAGAAATGTGGTAGGAGGGTGGGGCTGTCAGTGCCTCCTGACTGGTGAGGAAAGACAGTGCCTCAGGGATCCTGCTACCTGACTGGTGAGGCAGAACACCACCTGGCCGCTCCTAACGCTGATTGGTGAGGAAAAGCACTGCCTGAAGGGCCCTGCTTCCTGATTGGTGAGAAGACACTGCCTAAAACCTCTGCTCTCTCATTGGTGAGCAAGAAGAATGTGACCTCAAAGGTCCTGCCATTTCATTGGTGAGGAAAGGCCTCTCTTGAAGGTTCCAGATCTTGCTCCTCAGCTCTCCTTTTCCTGGTGTCACCTGCCTAGGGGATGTGGGAACTTTGAATCCTCAGTTCTCCCTCGGGACACTTCCCACCAAAGAGAGACCCTGAGACCTTGGTGGGAACCAGCCGTAGGAGGTCAGTCTCCGTCAGGGGGTTGTGTACCCTTGAGATCTTCAGACGGGTCTCTCTGTCATCCCGCACGGAGTCTGCTGTCTTGTCTTCCCAGGGCTAGACACTTTAAGGAAATGGTTCCTTTGGTGGAAACATCTGGCCCCAGCATTTTGATCTCTGATGATTTGCTCTCAGAAGCTTCCAGAATCTGGTAGTTGTGGAGCCACCCTCAGGCCCTCGCCTCCTGGGATTGACCTCAGGGAGCCCCCTCATAGCCCTCAGGGGAAGGCTGCACTTCTTTGCCCTGTTTCAGATGCATTTCACAGGGGAGCTGGGACAACTGGCAGTGGCTCTTGACTCAAGTTGGCAGTTGACCTGAGAGTGCTTGGGAATGGCCATCAGGCTCTCTTTACCCCTGACTTCCCAGGGCCTGGGAGGAGCCCTGGGCAGGGGGCCCAGGCCACCCATATACACTGCTGGCGATTGGCTGCCTCCTGACCTTGTTAATTTAGAGGAGGGGTGGACCCAACAAGAACAGCTTGGAGCAAGGGCATTAGATTCCAAACGTTGTTATGCAGCCCCTCATTTGGGAAGTTTCATAGCAACAAATTTGTTGGGTTCTTTCTCCCCTCCCCTAGTTTAGAACCAAACTGGGGCTGGCAGGGCTAGTGCATACAAAGGGCCGTAATAAACATGCCCAGGGAACAGGCGGCTGCACTCTCTGGCTATTCAGCGCAATTTCACAGCACTGCGAAGGCCTCATTATGGCGTGGGCTGTTGTCCTATACAAAGTCAGATGAGATGAATTTCTCCCTTTTCTGCGCGGAATGGTTGGTGAATGATACTCGTCCTGGAATCTGTCAAAAGATAGGCGGTTTTGTTTACCATTTGTCTTCTTTATGGACTTGAGGGCTCTTTCTCTTTGGAGCCGGCAAAGAAGACGTTGCCATTTAACCATTTTAGCCGTGCCTCCATTTAAACGATATTAATTTATCATCTTCCCGAACCATCTGTGATGGATAAAGACATTCCAGGAGTCTCCCGTGAACCGAATTGCAATGAGAATTAAGAAATTAACCACCACATCTAGCGTCCCGCACAAAGGGCTTGGTTCCATCTCACTGCGCAACCTGTTTCTTTCACTTGCTGCCCTGCCCCCTACAAGTCCACAGTCAGCCTGGCTGAATGCAGGCTGCTAAGAAGGTGCCCGAGTCCTCCGAAGAGGCAGGCGGTCGCAGGGCAGAAGCACATGATGGTCCTCCCCATCTTTGCCAGTGTGTGCTGGCTGCTCCCATTCACCCCTGTTTCTCCTGGCCACTCTGCCAAGGGTTGGGGAGGAAGTGAGCACCTTCGGGCCACCCACTCTGGCCCCCTGACCACTGTGGGTGGCTCCCCATGTGTTTCTCACTCTAGATTCTCGACCTTCCCTTCAGGGCATCCTCACTGTACTTGTCTCTAACTTGCGCGGAGGTTCTCACCCTTGGCCACGCTTTGGAATCACCTTGGAGGTTTGAGAATACTGACGCCTGGGTCCTCCCCGCAGGGCTTCTGGTTTGATGAATGGGTCCAGAGGAGAGCTGGACTCTGGGAGGCTGAACAGCTCCCTACGGCTGAGAACCAGGGCAGTGGGAGAGTAAGAAGTGAGGACAGGGAGCTGCTATTGTGTTGAGAGAGGAAATACTCACGGGTGGCCTAGGTCCCAGGTTTAGTCTTTTGAGGGGAGAGACTTATTATCAATAAATTTAAATGTTTTTTTATGGCTCTCTTGATGAAAACTGGTTGGTGGGGGGTATGTTTAAAATTTAACAAAATTTAAATCTTGCCGGGCAAGGCTGGGAGCGTAGCTAGTATAGCCATTGTCCAGATGAGATTGGATGGTCCTCACTGCTAGATTGTGTGTATGTGTGTGTGTGTGTGTGCGTGCACACGTCTAGATATGATCATTTGAGGGTTTAGTCACAGCACAGCTAAGAACCTGGACCCCCAGCCCTTCCTAACTCTAAGGCGGTGTCCATGCAGCCTACGAAAGCCTGGAGGCCTCAGGAGTGCCCTTTCATTTTGTGGGTCCCTTGTCGCATTTCCATTCCCTATCATCAGTTTGGGGGGTGCAGGGAAAAGGGTTGGTCATCTTAGGCAGGAAGGTGCCCAGTGGCTGGAGCAGCTCCCAGCTTAGAGGGCAGAGACCACAACCCAAGAAGTGGACTCTGTTAGGGTGCAGCTAAGGCCAGCAACCACAAGGAGAAAGGCAGGAGAGAAAAATCCCCTGTGGAAGAGCTCCACTCCCACTGTGGCCTCTGTTGCAGCATCCTTTTCCTGTTCCCTGGGGAAAGTGGGGATCAGAAATCCTGATCTCCAGATTTGGCTCCAGGTTCAAAGCCTATAGAGCATCAGGCAAGTCACATG